GTAATATAAACAGTTCGCGTCACTGGGAATAAATTAACGTCTTCTCAATCAGCATTTATTTCAGAGTATTCCCTCAGCGCTACCTGCTGTGAAGCAACATGCTCTGATTGGCTAGATTCCTGATCACCCCTCCCCCATTCCTCTACTTTGCCTTTTGATTGGCCAGTCTGTTCCTCACCGGCAGCTCAGTGTGGGAGTCGGGCTTTAATTAGAGAACTGGGGAGCAGAGCTGTGAACATGGCCGCCACTGACCAGGCTTTTGGCAGAACGCCGGAGCGAAAACTGAATGGTCTCGCACTTATCCAGTGAGTCACGCGGGACCGTCTTTCGCTCCGCTACAAGAGACCTCCCAGTGTTTTCTGAGAGGTCCTTTAAGACCGTAGCCTTCAATATAGTTATGAAACATGAAGAGGAGGTGAGAACAGACGCATGGCATAACTGGCAGGAAGTGTGGATGTAATTATTTGATTGATAGTGGTTTACAAAAATGGACAAGCAGTTAATTATGTACATTGAAATATGCATAAATTTTTGGATTTTATAAATTACGTGTTTAAACATGCAAATAATACAGTTATATAATTAAATATGCACTAATTTGCAAATCTGAATATTGGAAGATGGCAGGCTAATTTTTTTTGGCATAATAGAATCAGATGTTTAATCGTTTCATTATTCAAAATACTGCAAACAGCCAGGAAAAAACACCATTTTAGTAGAATAAAATGTTGTATATAATCCAAAAAAATATATGTATGAACATCTTATTTAAAAAACCCTTAATAATACAGATGTGAACACAAATGTACAGTTTGGTGTACGTAGGGGCTGCTGAAGTGGAGATTTATGACTCTTAAAACTACTTTTGAGAAAATGGCCTTTAAAAATATATGGGTAGTTGACAAATAGGCAGTGAAAAATATTGATGTAGTCTGATGAGAAAATATAAGGGGTCAGTAATTTTATCAATTTACTTACTTTTATTTTGAATATTTTTACAGAACTGTACCTTAAATACATCATATAGTGTGACATGACAAACATTAAGAAAAACAACTCTTACAACTCTTATAATTTACAAATAGCGTGAGAATGATTTATCTTCATTGTTGGATTCTTAAAGGGCGCCTATTTTACCTCTTTAACAAGATGTAGGATAAGGGTACTCGCACTATGTTATCCGAACCATGCCCAGGCCCGTTTCCCAGATCGTTTAAGAAGTGTGAGTGCTCTGAATCGGGCTCAGGCATGGTTCAGCCGGGCTTTGGGGCAGTACGCTTGTGTGTGAGTGCAAAACGCGCCAGAGCCTGAAACTGAAGAAGAGACGTGACTTTTAAGGGACTGTTTCATATGGAGTAATTAATCATTCTTACTGTTCAATAAAGTCAAACTGTCGTAATTTATTAAAGATGCAAACCCCTCACTGCACGACAGCTGCACCTTCAGCAAACCTCATCATTCCAGAAGCATGAGGACTTTATGATTGTTTAAAGAGCGTCAAAAGTGGCTGATCTGTTCGGTGAAATATTTGACTGTGTTTCACTGCATCCCAAACAACTGAAGAAATCTCCACTGTGCTGAGCGAGGGCACTAATTGAACAGCGCATCATCGATGATGTAAGCGTGCACAGACCCGAAACTAATGTAAGTGCAGGCCGTCGGGGGAGACGGGAGGGGAGACAAGCGTGCTTTGGGTCTGTTCAACTGTATATAGTGTGAGTACGCTTTGGTGTCTGCAGAATGTGTCTGTAAAGTTTCAGCTCAAAATACCCATCAGATTATTTATTATATCATGTAGAATCTGCCCATTTCGATGTCTAAGGACAACTTAGGCAATTTTGTAGCCTGGGGCTTTAATTCCAAATGAGCTGCACCGACATGCAGGTCTGCTTCTCATGCGTTACATCAGATAAACAGCAGTCAGTGATAGAAACGGACATGGATAAAGCTGAAATAATTCTAGTCACAAGTTAAAAAAAAAGTTTATTTCATGTATTTGCGTTTGAGTTTATATTCGAGTTTATTCAAGCCTTTCTGAAATGATGAGTCACACACAAATGCCGTTTGCAGTACACACACACACACACATTATGTTACACATTATGGTGATCATGTTTTTTTTTTTTACATGATGCATGAGGGCAGCAAGTGATTCTTCTACTAATGCTATTAGAACATTAAATCTTCCTGCTTTATGTTGTTTATTTCTAAAATCTTTAGCTCAAAAAGGGTGGAAGTTCAAGAAACTAGCTGAAAAACACAAAAAAGGCGGCATTTAATAAACATTTTTTCAATACATCCATGTGTACAAGTTTTTTTTTTAACGCATTAATTCATTTGACAGCACTAATAAAAATTATATACAGGTGTATAATAATGTGTTATAAAAAATATGATACAACCTCCACCAAACTTACAAAATCCAGGAGAATATAAATAACGTAACGTAATATAATCGATGCAATTAAATCTCTGTCTTGTTTTGCAACAATCCAATCTTTACTGGCGTTTATATAACAATAACAGTAATAAACAACTGAACGTGAACATCAAGATAACAACTCATAAAAAATAAATAATAATGTAGTTTAAAAAAATAAATAAATAAATAATAACGTAGACCATGTGACACGCATTTATATACTTTCATCTGTTATTTTGTGATGTCTGGAAGATCCGCGTGGGGAAAATTTTTTATAGTAATTTATAACAAACATGTTTTTGAATCACAGTGTACAATGTGTACAACTCAGTACAGTACAGAATACTCAGTACAGAATACTGTAGTAAAGTAAACTTTTAAACTGTAAAAAATAACGTTAGTATAAACTGTGGTGCATTGTAATGGTGTATATTATAGCGTAGAAAACTGAAGCCACTTAAATAATTTGTTTAATAATACAGTTGTGTCAGACCACAGCAACAATATAATTACTATGACAGTTTAATTCAAACTTGGCCCTTTTCATGATATAAGGACCGTGCCCAACATACAGTATGTGGTTATTTTCTACCTCCTTTGAAATATGGTATACATCGCTAAAATACAGACTTTATTACAAACACGCAGTTTTAAAACAAGCAGTTTTAAAAAATGTTTTAAAGTTCAAAATTGAGGTACAGCTGATCAGAGAGAGTTGGAACAGATATTTTAATCCCAGTTTCTTTGAAAAAATGTACTTTGGACATGTGTAAACATGTCATTTTGTTGACATGTCATCTGTCAATCAATTCAGTGGTCAGGGAAAACTGCACTCCTACGTTGTAGGTGTCAATCACGTTGCGGTTGGCCTCAAAATCACAGGGATTTGGGGCCTATTTTAACGTCAGGAAATTAAACAAAAAGAGCCTTGTTGGGTTTATAACACTCCAATATGATTGTGGACCCACTGTATACACAGTTCTGTTTAAAAAGCCTACAAAAGTTGATTTTCATTATAGGTGCCCTTTAAATTCATTAAATTCATTTGAATATATATGAAATTATAATTAATATTGCTATCACAACAAAGGACAACCAACCAAATTATAAAGTGCACTTATGGAATTGTACAATTTAAAATAGTGTTCCACTGGCCTTAAAACTACTACAGTAGGTACTCACATCAATACTTCTGGTGCTCTTGAGGTGGGATATGGGTAGGGTTAGAGAGCAATAAGTACATTGTAGCAAATGATTAATTTTAGTTTAAATGCATGTTAGTTAAGGCCACTTAATATAAAGTAGGACCAAAATTAGCAAAGTATCACACACGAGGACATGGATTTAATGGTTTTAGTTCCTATGTTTTTGGAAGAATACGGGTGAAAACAATTATTGCCGTTTACTAAAATAGACAATTGTGAAATTAGCCCTTAATAACGATTTTATGTAAAAAAAAATATATATATAATAGCAGCAGTTTTTGTAACAAAATGTCTAAAGAAACGTTCAACCATTTAAATGCAATGTCAACCATCCATATATTGTGAATGAAATCCACTGATGCAGATTGATGAAGTGAGACAAAACACTTAAAAGTGTATCTTGGATGTTTTCCTTCCATTAGACTTGTAAAATCCCTTCATGAAAAGCCAAAAAGCCCAAAACTGACATATATGTTTGCCTGTAATGTCTCGCTTTGAGAAAACATACACACTGTAGCGTTCTTCAAGATAGTTTTCTATTAATGATCTCATTAATTTTAATTCTAAGAATATCCTAATTAAGAAGGGTGATAAAATATTACATTCTGCAAGGACATTTTAATGAAAGTAAGCGCTCCGATAAGTGGACTCGCATGGAATTAGTAGATTAGCTTGGCTTCGGTCTGAATATGCTAATAACTGTCACCAGCTCTTGCCAAGAGATGATACAGTGTGCAATCTTGCGAAGGCTTTTGCTAAAATTGCCCAAAAACAGCTCATCAGCTTCAGATATTCTGAAAGAAAACAGTTTGAGGCTGAGGAATAGAGATGTAGAGCAAAGTACATCTAGGACTCTGTAATAGGAGTGTTTCGCTCCTCTTATTTCAAAATCTTGCCGAATCAAAGCTTAAGGCAAATTTAACTTCAAGTTCAGCTTAGAGCTTAGAGAAAAGAGTGAAGCGCTGAAGTACAGAAAGTTACTATCATAATTTCAGCTAAAACTTACTTTAAAGGAACTTTTCAAACACAAATGGATGTTTTGTTATCTTTAAATAGTTACAGTACCTGAGCAATGTGAGGAAAATCTACTCAATTGCTACTAGTACTGAACAACATCCTCACCTAAACCTAATATCAATGTGTTTTCTTTATTGTGCTGCGGTATGGGTTCAGGTTTATTACATATTGTTAATGGCTATGCTGAAATGTATTAATTTCTTGCTAAAAAAGACATGAGTCTAAGTAAATGCTAACAAAATTAGCATATCTTGGTGAACGTTTCGTTTCGACTATGCGTGACGTAGATTCGAGGCCACCTTCAGCAAGTTTTTGCTGAACTTGGTTTTAGAAATGAAGGGTGTAAATGTGCGCACCTGCTGTGGTTCCTCTCTGAATGACAAGCGTAGCCTCTGTTCCCACTGGACAGTCCTTGAGCAGCTGCACCACCTGTGTGTGGTTCAGTCCCTGGAGACACTTCTGATTAATCTCCACTATCAAGTCTCCTTCACACAACCCCGGACAACCCTGCGGCTCCAGAACCTGATCAAAATAGATCAAAATCAGTAAGGATGTACTGTATTTTATACTTCATAAGCATATGAACATTAAGACAATACATACCAACCATTTAATATCCTTAAAGGAACCCTCTACTTTTTAGATTTTACAAGACCCCTAAAGTTTAAAAGTTGAGATTTACAATTTAAGTTTAGCTTTTACCACTCAGCTGATCTTTGGGTCAGGCGGGAACGCTTTTAGCTTAGCATGAATCATTGAGTCGGGTTAGACCATTAGCATCTTGCTCAAAAATGACCAATTAATAAAAAATATTTAAAGCTTGACACTTCTGTAGTTACAGAACCTGACCTTTACCCTAAACTCATTTACTGTCCCTCAAATAATTTTAAACAATTTTTTGTCGGTAGGACAGTAAAGAAAATAATTAAATCTGAAAGAAACAGGTAAGCGTTGAATTTAAAGATGGCAAAAAAATACAGTGGCAGTAAATTGCAGGCCCGTAAGGTGAAAGTGGTGGTTCTTTTTTCTTAAAAAGTGGAGATTTTTTGCAGTTATTCGCCTAAATTTTTGTTTAATTATAAGGTTTAAATACTGCAGGTTAATGACACTTTAAGCACTTTTTGTTTTAATAGCTTGTCAGAATCTCTTGAAGTTTTAAATTAAAACCTGTAGTCTACTGTCAATTATCAAGCCTGGTTTATACTCAACGCGTCTGCTTGAGTGTGCGTGGCAAATGTGACGTCATCGCGGAGTTTGCGGAGGTTCGTTTTGGGTGTGCGCGACATGATTACACCCAGCAGACTGCATGATTTTTTTTTTTAAAACTCGAGCGAACAGTGAGCATGGCACCGCATTTGATTTGAGTATGAAACACTTTAAAGAGATTTTGTCTGAAACAGGTACACCAGTACAGACAACTTCATGATCCGTGATCATAGAGATAACCAGATGATCAATATTTCTTGGCTAGAAATTGCAACAGCCATGGGAAAGGAGTAGGGTGTCAAAATGAATTGTTTCTTCGGCAACGTGTTGCAGATGCAGATAATTCGGTATCGGTTCAGTAATAATCATAACCAGTTATAATGTAATGACTGACGTCATTTATCTCATTTGCACTATGTCACCATAGCTTACTATGGTGAGGGAGACGAGTGCGAACATTTACAGCAGAAGCCTGTATTTTACTGTGATTGAGAGAATGAAAGTAAACTCCATTTCTCTCTTTCTCTTTCTCTCTCACTCTGTGGCCCATTTGACCTGCTGGTGTGACTTTTTCTCAACTCTCGGCTGTTACAGCGATACTTCTGCATAGAGGTCTGCATTCCCGCGGCTGTACTGCAGGTGCTGACCAAATTTCTTGATGCACGGGAATAAATTTTACGAATAAAGCGCAGGAGGGGTCGGTAACGGGCAGTCTAACAACTGTGTGTGTGTGTGTGTGTATGTGCGTGTTTATGTGTGTGAATAAAAGGCAGCGTGATGCTGTGTGTTGCTTGTTTGGTGCTGTCTATGTTTGTGTGTGTGTGTGTGTGTGTGTGTGTTTGTGTTTATACAGACAGCTTGTTTAAAAGACTGGAAAAACCTGAAGGATAAGTTTGTTAAAACCAAAAGAGGTCATGGCAAAAGTGGACACCAGGTACACAATTACAGAAAAATGTTTTTCCACAATTCATAGGCTTAACACTGATGTATTTGTTAAAATTTTGAATTTAAAACTATTTAACAGTTATAAAACTATAATGAAGTCACAGAAGTATTTCTTTGATAACTGGAAAGGAATATTTGAACCTATCAGTTTACAGTATACTGATGCTCTGTTTCTAGGCTTTGTTGATGATAATGGTCAGGAATGTTGGACCATTATTGCCTTTTTAGCATAAATATAGAACAGTAATGTGTGAATTGTGGAGTGGGTTAAAATCTAAAAAAAAAAAAAAAGAAAATTTGTATTTTTTTAGTAATTGTGCTTTTTTTGCTTTTATTCTTGCCATCATAAAATATATATTTGTAGAGCAACCCATGTTCTGTTGTCATTAATATTTTAATAAACTTCAATAGGTAAAACTGTCTAAGATATGAGCAAAAGCAAGTGATGAATCAAAGTTTGATAAAATTTGTATTGAATGGTTATAAATATCTTTATAATCATTGAAATAATTAAGTCAGCAGAGGTGCGTGATGCAAAGCCAGGCAAAAGTATAAATCAAGCTTTAGGCAAATAAAAAAACTGGCCAGCACATTCAACTTTCTTCAGTCAGAATTTGGTATTTGGTCAGAAGTTTTGATAAGTTATGATAGCATAACAGTCCAAATAACACAAATAATCTCATGTATGGGACAAATTCTAGAACTTTGTCAGTGGGGGTGGGTCTTTAAAACCTCCTGAACCCCTCTGGCTAGGGAGCTGAATTGCTACTTGACATCAACATTCTTTAAGATATCTTTTGTGTTCAACAGAAGACCAAAAAAACAAACAAAAAAACAAACAAACATGGTTTGGAAAAAGAATAAACTGGCTCTAGTTTATTTAATTAGAATCACTTCATCTATCATAATTGCATAAAAACAAACACACTGGCCATTCACGCCATTTGATTTATTTCCTCTATTTCTTCCACTGATCTATATATAGACAAAATTTTGTTTGAACTGAAGACCCCTACATTACAATGTTTGCTTATGGATTTCAGCGTACCTGTTTAACTCTCTGCCCCGTAGGACTGTCCGCTATGGTAAAGCCGAAACCCTCTGCACCTTTGGTTATAGTGAGACTCAGAAGCTCCGGGGCCACCGTAGCCCCAGCTGTTGCTCCTGAGGATGATGCCATTGAGACACTGTCGTCAGGTGGGGGTCCTGGGGTGGTTAAGGACGGAGGTTGTGAGCCATCCAGGTGGGTGTCTCCTGGGTGGGGAAGCGGGGTGAGGCCCTCACCATGCTCAGGTACCAAGCGGCCAGTCAAAGACATGTACTCCATATAATTTTCATAGTTGTTCCTTCCATTAAGCAGCAACGGGTGATCCACCAGGCCCAAAGGGGGCATGGAGGAGCTTGCCGAAGGATCTTCTGGGTCATATGGGAGCGGGTAACCTCGACACAATACCAAGGTGACGCTCTGACCAATGGGGACCGACTGGAAAAGCTTCACCACATCAGCATGGGTGGTGCCCAGAACACAGATGTCATTGATGTAGACGATCACATCACCTGATGAAGAAATAAAGAAAAAAACGAGAATACTAAACACGCGTTTAAAAGAAAACATGAAGCGCCATACTCCCAAGTGCATTATGTCATGGCTCTTACATCTACCACTTGCTCAGAGTGCGTATGCGCATAAATTAGCTTAATTATTAAGCATATTGGTTCTCTTACAAAACATAATTATGCTGGCTTCTGAACAGGCGATCATGCTGAGAGATTTGCAATGGGGAAGCAATTGCAAGTCATTCGTACGTAATGAACGCAGTTGGATTCTGGTGACATATGCAACCAATGGTGCATAATGAAGGATTTGTAGCCTAGTTAGTGGGTAAAACTGTGGTCTTTATGATGTTTGCTGGTGCGCCTGCCTCACATGCTAAAAATGCTGAATTAAAAACTGTGGGGTATGTAAAACATTGATGCCTTGACAGAAATAGGTTTTTGGTACGGTAATAAGTATAACAGATGCAACCCAGGCACATTCTGATTACATACCCCTATATACATTTCTGGAGAAAGCAAAATATGTCCCAGGAGCTACTGTTTTTTGCAGTTTTTGTTTTCGAAAACCCACCAGAGGCCATTGTGTACGCTTTTTCTGATCTCAAATTTCTCTCGCGAGTGCCATTCGTGCATGCTGCTGTAAATCCACTATAGGACGCTGTCGACTGATTGACTTACTGACTGACCAATTAATCCCCCACCTTTCCCCTTCCTTAAACTCAACTCAACAAATAGCACCAATAAAAAGAATTGATTGACCTGCTCAATCCCTTCCTTAAACCCAACTGACAGTGTTTACCAAAGGCATCCATAAAAAGAAAAGCCTCCAGATTTTTACCACATTTTCCCTATTTTACCACATTTTCCCCCAGTTATTTACTTGTTTATTTTATTTTTTAGCTTTTGTTTTTGCCATACCTGCTTTCTGAAACTGTTTTTTTACCAGACTTGCACCCCATGGTTGCGGTCAACTCCGCTCTACATACGTGTCGAGCTACCGTACAAAATGGTAACAGTGGAAAAGCCGTTCATACGGAGGTAAGCGGTCAGCTGGTAAGCACAAAAAGGAACTGCGTCATACAGCCCCGTATCATTTTTTAAAAAAATGAAATGCAGCTGGACGTAGCACTGTCTTCATTACTCGCAATCTCCACAAATGTATATAGGGCTACCTTTTCAGAATGAGCCTGTGTTGAACAGATGCCAACTAGTAAGAAGTGTGCAAGTAAACCTCACTGCCCTTGCCTCAAGAGATACTTGCCCAGTATAAGCAGCAGTGATTAGAGTGTTTCTTAGTGGGCCCACTTCCCAATCCCATCATTGATGAACTTATGATTGATAATAAAGAGCCTCAAGTTCTTACTTCCTTCAACTCCCTCTTCTCATAGCTTTTTGCTTGATGTCCTGCCAAATGTCTGTCGGTGGCAGGCAAGCTTAATTTTTATTCTAGAAGTGTTTAGTTTTGTTTGTACCCACAGATTAAGAACATGTGCTGCAAACATAGTAAGTACAAATTAGCTAGTATTAACTAAGCCTCTAAATAGGACTTTAAATTCCAGTTTAAGCAACTCAGAGTCCACTGGTGCAAGCTTATAGCCTAGTCTCAAGACGTGCACTAGAGCAGGTGTGCCCAATTCTGTTCCTGGAGATCAACCGTCTTGCAGAGTTCAGCTCCAACCCTGATCAAAAACAACTAAAAGAAACTAAGGCTTTTTCTCAATATGTGTTCTTCAGCATTCTTGTGTCCTCGTGTTCTCATGTAATGTCATCATAAGCTGCCAAAGTTTAGTTCCAAAATTCAAAACAGCAAGAACAGAGGACATGTGAACGTTCCCAGATGAATTCTTGATATCAAGGATGCATAGATGCAGACTTGAGAACCAAACTCGCTCTAGAAGTGCCAGAAGTTATTGCGGCTGAATAATGGAGGTGGAAAGCACAGCACTTTACAGGTTTATTTTTAAAGTTTCGAGATATAACTTATCTGTCTTAGGGGTGTCCCTACATGAAACGCTAAAAGTAAACATTACCATGGAAATCCTTATAAAGGCATAAACCCATTAAAGGTGTTTATTTGCTAAAATGCATATTAAAATTTGTTTTATTTGTATTGTGCAACGTATATTTGAACGCTCTTTATGCATAGTATATATTGTGAACAATAACAACAATAAATCGTTGTATCAATGCTGTAATGTTCAAATAAATTTCTGTTACAAATGCATGAAGGTCAGGTGACCATCAGAAAAAACACATCTAATTTTTCAGAGGATGCGTTCTTTGTTCTCACGGTCTCCTGAGTTCATTCTTCCGAGGTAACTTGGCAAAAATGGTCTCCACAAGAACACGAGCACGTTCTCAGCGCTCTTGGAATTGAGAAACAGCCCAAGGTATGTTAAGATGCTGAACTCTGCAAAAAGGTAGATTTCCAGGAACAGGATTGAGCACCCCTGCACTAGAGGCTGCAATCTTTAGTGTCCATATTAGTGTACTTGGATCCCATGAAAATGCAGATTCGAAACCCATAGATTCAAAAGTGTTAGATCAGTAACCTGACCCTGATAAGAGTGTGGTTTAAGGGGGAAGAGAGATTAACAGAGGCTATATGAGCTCTGCAATAAACCTCATTTCGCTGGCCTCAAAAGAAAAACTCGAGACAGCAGTCTTTAATGTCCTTGTTAGTGTGCCTGCCTACCATGCTGAAAACGCCGCTTTGAACCCTACGGGGGCAACAGAAAATGTAAGGCTTACACAGAAGCTGTGACCTTGTTGGGAGTGAGATTTGAGGAGTGAGTATAATGAAGGCCAACAAGTAAAATCTGTTCATCATTTCCCTGGCTTCAAGAATCCACTCGAGGCTTCAGTCTTTTCTTTCCCTCTTAGTGTGTCAGCCTTCCATAGTAGAAATGGCAATTCGATTCTAATAAGGTGAATTGATCCAAAGGGGTTGCACATGTGCTGTGACCCTGTTGAGAGTAAAGTTTAAGGGGTCGAGACAACTGTAGAGCAGCTAGTAAGAGCTGTACTGGTTAATCTCACTCCTTCTTGCACAAGGCCCTTAGTGCGCCAGCTTCCCAACTTAGAAATGTCAGATCAAATCTCACAGACTGAACAAAACTGGAGTGGTTATACTGGTGCTGTGACCAAGAGGAGAATGAGGTAGCTGTCACTCCCTTGGGTCAACAGGCACACTAGAATCTGAAGTCTTTAGGATTCTAGATAAGCGTTATATTGGTGCCTGTGAACCAGATGTAAGGGAGGGTTGTTGGGGTGTTAATCTTTGGACTGGGGTGAAGCATCTGAAACAGGTAAGTTCACAATTATTTTTTATATATAACAAATATAATCCATAGCAGCCTTCACCAAATGTGCTGTTAGTAAGAGCGGCGAAGGGTGCTCAACCTGCAGTCTGTGTAAGTCCTTATGCCCCAGTAGTCCCGCAAGTGAAGGGGGACGCTTTACTGTCAGTGAGCGCTTTCAGATCTTTCGGATGAGACGTTGGACTAAGGTACTGACTCTCTGTGGTCATTAAAAATTCCACGGCACTTCTTGTAAAGAGTATAGCCTCCTTTCTACTGCACACGACAAGCGACAGACCGGAAGCCATTCATTTCCAAAGGAGAGTAGTCCGGGAACTTCGTGGAGGTCCGATCATCTCCATATGAGGAAAAATTGGATCCGAATTGAGCTGCGGATCCATTGAAATATTTGAACTCCTGCGACTAGACTGTATGCGACAGGCCGACCAGATGTGATGTATTGCAGTGTTGTCCAAGCAGGTCCGTGAGCGTGAGATGAAAAATACTACTTTATTTGGTTATTTTTTGAATCAGAAAAAGTCTGTATTTAAAAAAATAAAAAATTCTGTTCATAAATGTAAGTAATAAAGTAATAAAAATATATGTTTTTATATTGTCTCCACATTCGCTCCATTATTTTTAACGGTCTATGAGTTTCTAGTATTCATTCAACCATGGCACGCACAGAAAATAAAGACTCTTACTTTTGCACTCCTTTATTTTTGACACTGCCAGAACCGCTTCTCTCCCATGGTGCACGTCAGAACTGAAAATTCTGTGCGACTGCCACAAGGGGGCGTATTTCAAATGTCGTGTGCAGTGGAAAGGCGGCTTATGGGTGTAACTTCGGTGTCCTGGCCAAATTACCTTCATCGGCCCTTACCGATAATGGCCGAATTGGCTCTATCAATCCATAGTCAAAGTGAAATGTTCACTGAGATATGCTTATTCTGTTAGCGATGCAATTGTGCAAATAGAGGCGGATTTCTACTGAGCAGCATCGAATTATGCAGAATTTACAGCACACTTGCAGCAAACACATGAAATTTGACTATCGAGCAAAAAATTCTCCTGACGTGTCTGTTCAACATTCTGTCAAATCAAAACAAACGACTGCATCACTGCTGTATGTGGACACCCAGAAATTTACAACACTACTGCACGTTCATATATTTATCCTATTTTAAATGGAAATACAGTTAAAGTCAGAATGATTAAACCCCCTGAATTATTAGACTCCTTTTATTAGCAGAAAAAACATCCCCACAGCATGGTGCTGCCACCACCATGCTTCACTGTAGGGATAGTATTGGCCTGGTGATAAGCGGTGCCTGGTTTTCTCCAAATGTAACGCCTGACATTCACTTACAAAGAGTTCAATTTTAGTCTCATCAGACCAGTGAAGTTTCTTATGGTCTTAGAGTCCTTCAGATGCCTTTTGACCAATTCCAGGCGGGGAGTGGCTTCCATCTGGCCACTCTACCCTACAGGCCTGATTAGTGGATTGTTGCACAGATGGTTGTCCTTCTCTAAGGTTCTCCTCTCTCCACAGAAGAACGTTGGAGCTCAGACAGAGTGACCATCGGGTTATTGATCACCTTCCTGACTAAGGCCCTTCTCCCCCGCATTACTCAGTTTAGATGGCCGGCCAGCACTAGAAAGAGTCTCTGTGGTTCCAAGAATATCCACTTAAGGATGATG